GTACTTTAATTTCAAACACGGCAGGATTTGTAATTAATTAAATTAATAATTTCTATATACTTTGGAAACTCACATCAAATATTTTAATACTCTTTCCTCGAGCTCTTTTCTGCAGTTTCCTTGAGATGTTATGTGGGTCCGAGGTGTAATTTGAGCTTTACAGCGATTCTTTACTTTGTGTGTGTGTGTGTGGGGGGGGGGGGTCTTTAACCCTTGGGTTAAGGTCAAAGGTTAAGGTGATTTCAAGTTCATAGGTCAAGGTCATTTTGGTAAATAGCTAATATCAACATTTTATTCAGGTTACTAGTGACCTTGACCTAAGTATCAAGATCAAGGGTAAAAAGATCTGCTTCAGTATGTTACATGTCTTTACATTTAGAAGTTATTTATTCTGCATGAACATCAAAAGACTTAAGTATACTGTCGTTTAACGCATTGTGTGTGCGCGCATGTGCATGACGTCCTTGCATTTACTTTTGATGGTAGAATAATGCAGGCATTCATTATATCTATTCATATATTCGAAATTTCACCCTGTATTATTGAGAACTAAGAAAGTTTTAGGCATTTAAACTTTTAGCCAATCAGATTGCAGCACACGTGCATGTGCGTGCGTTCATGATTATTCTTATATATCATGCTGCAGATCTTTATAATGTATGACTATGTTCAAAATTTCAAAGGATTTTGTCAGAAAACAAAAAAGATATAAAGACTTTAGTTTCAGCCAATCAGAACGAAGCGCACATGCATGCGCGTGAGATGTTTGCTATTTTGACCATGTCATCATGTCTATACTACTATTATATCCTTATGTTTTGAGTTTCAAAGCATTTCATCAAAAATTTAAAAGGTTACGGCTAAAATTTGTCATTTCACGCGTTACACGTGTGCGCACATGCACGCACGTGCGCGCAAAATGACCTTCGTTCTGCACATCTACATTACATACCTAGTGACCCTAAAAAGGTTTCACCGTCGGATGAGTAGTTTATACCGGAAATTTAAACACAATATGTTCGTTTGGGAACATAATAAGAAACAGAGTAAAAACAATATGTTCCCCAACTTCTTTGGGGAACATAATAGTGCTAATAGAAAAAACTCCCTTTTGTGCCATATTCCGAAGCTTCATTAAATTAGACAAACTCGATGCATTTGAGACTTAAAAACGTTTACCCAGAAGTGTACAAAGTTCATTCAAATTTTAGCATTGCACGCGTGCGCATGTGAATGCATGTGCGTAATGACCATATCATCTTGTCTACACAATCTATATATTTTAATATACTTAATATTAAAGTATTTAATCCAAAAGTATTAAAAAGATACGCTCATTCAATTGTTTTTTTTATTTTGCTCATTTCACGTGCACGCACATACATGAGCATGGTGACCATACCTTCTTGTAGATGTCCGTTAATTACCACCTCCCGTTTGGTTAAAATCCAAGGGAGTTATAGCTGTTTAAATCAGCCAATCAGATTTGCATGTACATGCACATGTATGCATGTGCATGGTGCCATTTTCTTGTAGTAGTAGTATATCTATCTATGTTCCAAATCCCATCCTGTTTGGTTGAAAATCAAGAGTTATAGCTATTTAAAGTTTAAGCCACAGCCCACTTGAAAACTATATATATGATATTAAATTATTTTCAACACAATTTAAAAAACATTAACTTTGTTTCAGCCAATAGCGCACGTGCATCCTTTTACCATGTCACATTAATATACTTATATTATAAGTTTCAAAGCACACAAAAATTTAAAAGTACGCCTATTAAAAATCGGTCATTACAAGATATAAGCATGTGCGCGGATCCGCAAATCTACATCGACCCTAAAAACATTTCACGCATTTCAAAATGGCGCCATAACACTGTGGGGAACATAATAATAATAATAATAATAAGAAACGTAATTTTTTACATAAAAATTAAAAGTTCAATCCAATAATAAGAACATCGTAAATAATTGTGCATTACTGTTTATACATATTGAATGAGCTCTTTGACAAGCGAAACCCGGTCCGCTTGATATATAGTAGACCTATATTATGCGTGCCTGTAGATTTTGTTTTAGGTAACATTTCACCCGGCTTTCAAACTTCGTGAACAGCCAAGAAAATATGTACAGTGAGTCATGCGAGACTATTTTATAATTTCGATACTCCAAAATATTGATTAATTTCATCATTCAATTATATTTTATATTATGTATATGATGTCTTGTAAATAAACAACGAAATTTTCAAAAATTAATAGTTTCCTGCATTTTTCCTGCACTCCGGATTCTGTCTAAACCGGCCAAATTTTATGGAACCAGCGATAGCCGGTTTGGACAAATTATACTGTATGAGTGAGCAGAGGGTTTATGAACCTTAAAGTGGGTCTGCTAATTTCTCAGAAGGATAATCTGCATCAAGAAGATTTTTTTTTTCAAAGAGATAATACTTAAGAAAACAACTTATGAAATATAAAAAAAGAATTTATAAACCTATGAATAAGAGATACTAAAAGGCAACTTACAGATGAACATAGTAGTTCTTTTTAATTCTTTCTGCCATCAATGCTGATTCCTTGGCAGTGAGCTTGATTTTGTCACACAAAACTTTACATGCCATATTTGTAGCCATCTTAATCTGAAATGTGTTTAATTAAGAAACATTTTAGAGATACATTTAATTAGATCTGAGTAATGATACCAATACTATACAAAAGAGTAAAAATTGGTCAACAAAACAAATGCATTTAAAAATAACACAAGAGTCCCTGTGACATTTAAATGAAATTTGAGTAACGATATGCAAGTTACAAAAGAAGAAATAGTTGTACAACAAAACAAACCTCGTATGGAGTATTAACAATCCTGTCTCCTCTCAATACTTCACCTGCAAAAATATTTTCAAAATAGATGTCAACAATATAGTCAGACACATATACATAGAGAACAAAGATATTGTGTGTAATAAATTTATTAATTTTATTATGAATGCTGTCAATACTGAATATCAAGAATTTTCAAATACGTTCAAACAATATTATTAATAAGCTTTTTTCTATGTTATGTTGAAAATGTTCATGCAAGGTCAAATCATTTCTTTAAAGAAAAAGAAAAGTCAATAAAAAATAATAATTGAGGTATCGCTTAAGTCCCTTGATTTCACTGTTTTCCCCTCTTGATTTCCTTTGTTGATATCAAACATCTAACCCACACACATACCCAAATTTTCCACTTTATATTCTTTTCCTCCCTTTGGCTCACAGAATCTGAGTGAATAATATTCATATGGAAGCTGAGTCTTGGTGCTGGTCATCTTTACTGCCTGAAAGGTGTACAAACAAACAGATTAGTAAAATTGTAATTTGGGTTAAAATGTTCTGATCATGATCATAAGACATTTCATGTTAATGTTCAATACATAGAAAATAAATTTCACTTTCAGAGAACATCTACTGTAGATCACTATATTTTTCGCGACACCTTATTTTTGTAAGTTAGTTATTGACTCTTTAAAGGCAAGACAAAATTTCACGAAGTGTGTTTATTGCTTTATATAATCTTTAGGAATGATAAAACATGTATATGCAAGGATGAAATTTTTTCGAGAAAACTATCTCTTGTAATTGTGCAAAAATAAGGTTCTCGCTAATAAAAATTTATTTTCAGTATTAGGAAGGTTATATCCAGATGAAATATAGAGTGTAAAAATTCCATAACTGATCAGATCTAGGTCAAACTTTACACTGAATTTTCGGAATTACCTTTGCTATTTCATGTGATCTCAATACTGATGTATGCTGATGGAGAATTCTTTTTTTTTATTATGCTTGATATTAAATTCTAATAAAATTGAAACTTCACTCTTTGCCAATTGGAAATGAAATGCATCAAGTCAGACGAAACTTACAAATTTTATGAACATTATTAAGGAAGCCTCAATCCATTCCAATGCTCAATCTAGGCTCACTTACCCTGACCTCTACAAGGTCATTTTTCTTAAACTCCTTGGGAGCCACTCCTGGTACATAGAATCCAGAGCAAAGGTTCAGAAAGGACAGGAACAAGAGAAGCCGTGGAACCATATTCTGCAAGAAAATGTCAACAGGTGTATTGTTTTATTCTCCTCTAAACTTTTTCTGATTCTATCAATAGGTCTAGGACTTGCAATGACAAGGCTGACATGATGCATGTCTGTTCTGCACATAGGAAATGACAGGAGAGAGTATCTATAAAGTGTTTTGCTTTCAATTAAAAAATATACGATGCATAAAATGATAAAAGCTTTTTAACTTTTAGAACTCTGATTGACATTGCCCTGAAGGAGACTCATATTGGAAAGTGATGTTTAAAATTTTCAAAGATCGTTTTTGGATCAGTTTAAATTAAAAAAAAACTTTACACTGCATTGAAGTGTGATTTTTGTTTTTTTTAAAAATACTTCCTGACAATATGGTCAATTAAGAAATATGAATGATTTTGTACCTAAGTAAACTAACATGCACCTATAACATGTATAAAGCTATAATCTATTCAACATTAGCAAAAATGTAGTAATTTTATCTGACTTCTATATTGGACAAGCAATAAATATAAATTATAATTCTGATAACTCCCGACTCTCACATTTCTTTTACTGAAACAGCACATTTTTGTGCACAATAAAAATACATTTTTTTTCAATGGGTGGCACTGTAGCTCTCTATTTGTCCATCCCAATTTTTTTTTTTCCAGACCAGAGAGCTACAGATCTGCAGCTATGAAATAATTGAAGCTCAATTTACTAGAATGTTCTATAAATGATATATGTCCTCATACATGCCAACTTTTGAAAAATGGGGGAGCATTTTCAAAGCTTCAAATTCGCGACATTTTGTTGTGAAAATAAATGAATATGAAATACTTTTTTTTAATTATAATATTGATAGCACTTAATTATGAATACAAATAAATACAAATTAAAGTTTTATTTTTCCAAATTTAAATATCTTTGCTTAATAGTTGTCACTCTGTTCTATTAATTTACATTTTGTTTCTAGTATGTACCCTTAAAATCAAGTGTCACTTTATTCCCTATAAGTAAGTATATAACAGTGCATCATTAATTTTATCTCACACACAAATCAATTTGGAGAAAATATGCCTAATTTAATCATGAATTTTTTAACACAAGCCCCACCCATCCCAAAGAAAAATTAAAATTTTAAAAGACTACATCATGAACATGATAAACTTTTGCAGTCTTGGCAATGCCATATGGGTTTCTGGTATTTCCTTGACATATTTGTATCATAGAAATACAATGTACATCTGTATGAGTATTGCATACTAAACATGAGTGTATTATTTAATCTAAATTATTTTCAATATTTTTTTAAATTGACAAACTATACAATATTTTTATTATTTAGCAGTTAAAATCAGCAGCTATATATGCTTTGAAATTTTCTACTTTCGTTTTCAAAAAACGATCTTTTTGGATTCATATTTTATTGTTTGATTATCATTTCATTGACTTTAATTTTTGTTTTTAATACAATGACTAATTAATTAAGCCCTTAATCTATGTGTTTCACTTTGCATACCCCTTCAAACTGAAAAGATTAATCCCCTAACTGCTCCAGGCTATAAGCTATACCTGTACTTGGACAGCAGCGTGTGCGTTGAAGCGAGAAGTGATTTTGTGGCTAATTAACTCTGCATGTTAAATAAACAATGAGACTTATCTATTGAATAAACAACTCTGATATTCTTATCCCGATTGACAAAATTCGGTGTTAGGGAAACCGAAAGTCTGAATTTTTTTCAAATCGGGCAATTGGGGCAATTTTTCTCTCCCGATCGGGAAGGCGGGATGAAAGGGTAAAATCGGGAGAATCCCGCCTAAATCGGGAAAGTTGGCATGTATGTGTCCTACGGACCTGGTTCAACGATAGAATTTGTTCCGTGTATTCACAATGTTGCAAAATAAACACAGGCAATAACTCGAACTCAGTGCATTTACAACGAACAATCAAGAGAGTTCTGACTTAAAACATGGCGTGTAAATTTTAAGCGAGAAAAAATGTTGAGAAAATTAGTTGAATTTAGTCTTAATTTGGATTTTATTTTAGGTTTAAAGGCATACACAACTGATCACATACAAAATCGTTCGGAGCGATTCTGCAATTTTCTTGTTACATTGAGAGTATATGGGAGGTATTCGGGACAAGCCCTCACCAAAGTAAGTTAAATTATTCTAACTAAATTTAGACATTAATAATGCAAGACTTTACATTGTAGACAATTTTACATGTGTATGTAAATATGAATTAAGCGCAACATAGAGAAATGTGCTTAAAAAGTTTGAATTGAATTTGATAAGCGATTATGAGAATATCATTCAATAAAAGAGAGAGTCAGGAGTTGGTCAGTTGGTAGTACTATATTTACCGCCTGCTTGTGTATTTTAAGATTTCCCCGTTTTCGATGACGTGTCCTTTCAATCAATATTTTCACTTGTAAAACACCTGTTCACTCATTAACTCTGGCAATGACATGTGATAATGGTTTGCCAGGGCGTAGTGTACCTACTTATTATTTTTTTTTTAACAAACATCACTAAATACACACTAACGCAAAACATAGTTATCCCTTCTCGTGTGTAAATGGCAAGTATATTTGATGACACGTACATGAAGACATAAAATAATTTGTTACTAAATAAAGTTTACGTTGTACGACACTCTACCGGGATTTGTTGACAGATTTCTTACCCTTGTCGCCATCTTACAAACGTGGAACTCGACGAAGTCAATTGTAAATAGCGAAAAATATACGCGCCGGATATTTTTGGAATGTATTTATTCCTGACATAAATCAGTACGCTGATTGTTTAAACTCCATGCAGAAATTCATTCCGACTTTAGAATCCAAGTTCTTTCAATTACATGTAGTTCCAATTTCCCCCTAATTCACTTCTTCATAACTCTTTCTTTTACTTTACTTCAACAAAAAGTGTGCCCGGGGGGGGGGGGGGGGGGGGTTATAATGCCATTCAGCATTTTCCAACATGATGTGTTTGTGAAACACTACCGGGTATGCCCCTGATGATAACATAATTCTGGAATGGACACATCTGTGGTATACACTTACCCCTGAGAGTAACTGATAGATATGGGCTACATGTAAATTAAAATTGACAGACAGACAGACAAACAAGACAAAACAATATTCCTCGGGATCTTTCGATCCAAGGGCAATAGAAGTTATGTTTGGAAAAAGTTGGGTTCTGCCGCCTAGGTCTGCAAGGAATGCTCACTCTTCCATGGTACCTGATCCAACCTTATGTCTTACACGGTGAAACACTACTCGTGTCTTCTCTAATCATAGTATTTAAATATTCAGGAAACTGCACAAAGACTAAGTTGACACGTACATGAAATCAAGACAAACAAGAGGCCCAGGGACCACATCGCTCACCTGAGCAACTGTCTAGCTAAAAGAAAAAATCAGTTCAGTATTGAAAAGTTTTAAATATAAAAGTGGGTTCAGGGGAGAAGGGGGGGGGGGGGTATTTGAACAAACTTAAATCTACACTTCCTACGGACGTTTTTAATAAATTAATATGATACATAATGACTTTGCTGTTTATAAGATGTACATTTTGATTGATATATCCGTCGTTAATATCCCTTTGTATAACTATGATCCACTTTTAATAATGGCTCCATTTATTCTTCTTGTTGGTCACCCATTGTGGCCCCACTCTACCCCCGTGGGTCATGATTTAAACAAACATGATTCTACACTATAACCGAGGAAGCTTTCATAAAAATATGAAGAATCTCAACTGTTGCCGTTCTCAAGAAGAATTTTAAAGATTATTTTCTATGAAATCCTTCTTAAAAATTTGGTCATCTGTTATGGCTAACCCTTGCCCCAGGGGATATGATTTGAAAAAACATGAATCTACACTAAAGGAATAAGCTTCATATTATGATAACGATGGCCAGTCATGGCTTTGCTGTTCTTGAGAAGAAAATTTTTAAAGCTTTTCCCTATGTATCCCTATGTTAAACTTTGATCCCCCACTGTGACCCCATCCTACCCCAGGGGTCATGATTCGAACAAACTTGAATCTTCACTACCAGAAGATGCTTCCGGATAACTAAGACCAATCATGGCTTTGCTGTTCTTGAGAAGAAGATATTTTAAAGATTTTCCTATGTACTTCTATGTTAAACTTTGATACCCCACTTTGGCCCTGCCTAAATATCGGGGGTCATGATTTTAACAAACTTGAATTTACACTAGCAGAGGATGCTTCCTCATGAGTTTCATCTTTTCTGGCCCAGTGGTTCTTGAGAAGAAGGTTTTTAAAGATTTTTCTTATGTATTCCCATGTTAAACTTTGACCCTCCATTGTTGCCCCACCATACCCCTGGGGGTCATGACTTGAATAAAATTGAATCAACACTACCTGAGGATGCTTCCACACGAATTTCATCTTTCCTGGCCCAGTGGTTCTTGAGAAAAATTTTTAAAACATGCCATTAATTTTTTCACTAATTCATAATTATCTCCCCTTTGAAGAGGGCATGAACCCTTCATTTGAATAAACTTGAATCCCCTTCACTCAACGCTAATTTGTGGCAAGCTTGGTAGAAATTTGCCCAGTGGTTTTTGAGAAGATGTAAATGTGAAAAGTTTACGACAACGATGACAGACAACGGACAAATTTTAATCAGAAAAGCTCACTTGAGCCTTCGGCTCAGGTGAGCTAATGATAAAATACAATAAGTAAAATTATACGTAGATTTTTAAAATAATGCATGTTTCATTGTAATAGAAGAAACAGATAGATATATCTTTTAAATTTTACAAGCCTAAATGAACATAAACATAGACACTTGATATACTAGTAGTCATGCGCAAGAAAGCCATAAAGGGTTATTTCCAATGAGGTCCTCGTGATTTGTGTTGTTCGGATGTACGTATGAGCTTGAATGTTGTTCATTATCCTTGGAAAACTATATTCAGAGATTACTAGTAAATATGTAATATCTATTTGCCGATATAGATTTTCAACTTTATCGTATGATCGATTAGCTAGGTCCGAGTGTCCACACTGTGGCTCGAACCTAAAACCCTCAGATTTGAAATCCGACTGAGCTTAAGGATTAACCCACTAGCTAGTGCTAGTAGGAGCGTGGACTCACTATATACAACACATATAGCTACTTTTAACTCTAGATCTGTTTCACTTCCACCTTCTTTTTTCTTGCGATTTCTTACTCCGAGAAATCTCACCCACGAGACTCTGTAAAGACCGCTCACCATGTAGATTTTGTAGTTTGTCGCCTATATGACCGATTACCTAGGAGGTGTTCAGTTGTTCACACTGCGGCTCGAACCTATGACACTCAGATTTAAGATCAAACGCTTTACCGACTGAGCTAAAGGGTTAACCCACTAGGAAGTGCTGGTAGGAGCGCGGCCTCACTATATACAAAACATTCTGTTTTAACTGGTTTATTTCCAGTTTGGGATTATACTTAGGATTACCATAATTGGGTCCAAGAGAGTTACACTTGTACAAACATCTCATTTAAAGATATGCGCCCGCGGTGCGCAGCGGTTAGGGCGTGTGCTCTAGAGTGGCGACGTAAGGAGTCGATCCTTACGTCGCGGGTTCGAATCCTACAGTGGGACATGGAGACCGGTCCTTCGTGGTCGCAGTAGATGCTGGCACGAAAAAATGAAGCTCACTGCTCAATGGCCCTGAGTGCCGAGTATATAAAATTTGTAGCTATCCACCAGCAAGTAGTGAAAAATTCTGGAAAGGGACGTTAAACAACATACAATCAATCAATCAATCAAATGATATGAAGTCCTAAAATTAAGAATCCCATGATAGAATGATGTGATTTTCAGTCCCACCAACTATCCCAACATTCATCCAAAGGAGATGATTGATTGTATGTTGTTTACCGTCCAATTCAAGAATTTTTTTCCT